ACACACACACACACACACACACACACACACACACACAAACACACTCAGAGATAGGAGAGCTCATTGCATATTTCATAACCATTAGAGAAAGTAGTAATGCTAGCCACTTGATGAATCATGCCACCCTTGGCCTAGAGCAGCGAGAGAGAGACCAACACATGTGGCCAGAGAGAAGCGTGGCTGTGGAGTGACATCCTTAGCTGTGAACTTTCAGAACAAGGTGGCCCCAGAGTTTCAAAGGCATGTTGTATTTTAGTAACCAAAACTATGGATGGGGCTTCACCTCCAGCACTTGTACCACAGCCTGGAAGAAAGTTATTGGAGGCCTTTCTGGCCCAAAGCAGTCAGCTGATGTAGGGAGAGAAGGAAAGGACTGCAGTCTGTGCTGCTGCCATCGGCAGAGACTTCTCTGTGACCCCATTCATATTAGTCCCGTTGTCATCACTGTGCTTCCTGTTCTGGGTCTGTGAGCTTGACCCTGGTAGTACAGGATGAGAAAAGGGAGGATTGTTGGCAGATACAAGATTTCTGTTTTATTAGGGTCTGACTTTACAGGGAAATTCCTGCCGGTCGGCTATTCAGTCTTTGTCCACATCGCCATTCACTTTCTGGCCTCTTGACCAGACACACAGACTCTCCATTCTTACTTCCTCATCCCTTTTTATGTTCCAAGACCCATATCGTCTTCTTGGGTCAAGCATATTCTCTCGTTTCCTGTTCCTTCCATTCCCCAGTTCAGGGGCACAGTGGAGGTGGCCAGAACAACCCCTGAGAATGGGAGTCCCCAGTGTGTTGAGGGACCAGGTGTCTCCCTGGACCTCTCATGGCAGAAGGTACCGGGAGCCACATGTACTTTTTAGCAGCTTCACCCCAGCAGGGTCCTCTTCATGCCCCCAGATCCAGAGCTGCACATGGCCCTGTCCTGCCCTTTCTGACTCTTGATAGTGCACCCTCTGAGGCCTAGCCCAGGCCCTGCCGCAGGCAGCCTGTGGGAGTGGTCTCGCTGTTGAAATCAGCAACCAAATTATCCGAGCTGCCAGCACAGAGCTAAGGCAGCAAAAGGCAGCAAAGCTAGTCCCTTTTCTTGCTGGGTTGCATTCCTTTCCTCCTCGTCCTGTTGCCCCTGGGCCTGACCACTGATCTCTTCCCTCCCAGACACAACACGATGGCCATCGGCATCGCAGTGGACATTCTGGGCTGCACGGGCTCTTTGGAGGACCGAGCAGCCACCCTCAATAGGATCATCCAGGTGGCGGTGGAACTGAAAGACTCCATGGGGGACCTCTATTCTTTCTCGGCCATCATGAAAGCCCTGGAAATGCCACAGGTGAGGTTCCACTTGCTTCGTGTGCCCTGCGGGCCTGTGTGCACTCATTGTTCTGCAAAGTGGTCTGCAAGCCCATGCTTAGCAAATCACAGACTATTTTCGTCCATCTCAGAAGGTAAACTGAATCATACTGAAAGCAGCTTGGATTAGGGGACAACCCAAAGCAGTGTCCTAAGTGTTTCGGTTCTGTTTTTAAAAACAGTGGATGATTGTTGACTGCCCACACTTTCTCTCTGGTATGCAGTAAGAAGAGTCGTCCTCAGGAGCCATCGGTGTTCCTTAAGAACCAATGAGGATGATCTGTCTGGCTAATGTGTGTTGTATAATAGAGACTGCTCTCATCTGGGTCATCAGGCATTTGGGGAGCTTCTATCTGAGAATCCCCAGAGTGGCTTGTCTCAAAGTATGTTCCTTAGGTCAGCTAAAAGAGACTTCCGTTAAAAAATTCAGATTTCTAGCTTATCTGCCAGATAACCTCCTAATTAGAGTTTCTGAAAGTGTGCATTTGCAGTTTATATGCTTTGATGGGCTGTTTTTAGGATGTGTTGAACCTGAAAGTCTGTATTTAAAATCGAACAGACCTGACAAAGGAAAGTTGTTCTGTTATCTTGATTGTCCAGATTCCCGTTTTCCCATTTCTGTCCTGCCAAGCAAGCCCTAAGCGTTTAAAATCTCGCCCTCAGGCTCCTCTAGTCGTATATAAACCCAGTCTGCGACCAGTAACACCAAAACCACGGAGTGGGTCATTTAGCTTGGCTGTTTCATAACCACAGCTGAAAATCCACCACTGCCACTAGGGGAGACAGCTACAGTCACACGTCCTGCAAGTCAGAGCACATTTGAGCAAGGTCTAGCCATGAATTAAAGCAAGGTCACCCTAAAAACAAGCTGAACAACTTAATGCCATCACAAGGAAATTTGGGGGGGGGAGTCAGTTCCTATTACAATATTCTAACAGTTTGAAAACTCTTTAGACATACTGGAATTTCATAGGCTCCATATTTAGAATAAGCAAATCTAGATGTATTTTCTTGATATACTGACTCCTATAATAGGGGTTATAATTTTTCACTCACGTTGTTTCTAATTTGTATCATATTTATTTCTTCTTAGCCAAAACTGCCTGTAATTTTGGAAGGCTGAGGCAACAGACAGAGTAAGCTGAGTGTCTGTCACCCTCCAGCTCAGAGCTTTCTCTGAGAGCAGCAAAGAGGATGTTTGAGGGATCATGTGCTTGCCCTCCATGACATCACACTCAGCAATTAGGGACTTCTCCCCGAGCACCTAATATGCCTTTGCAGGTGGCTGCCTAGCCTCCAGCAGCATCAGACTCTTCCTGATGGCATTGGTCCTCCAGGATATTCCGGACCCTGCAGTGAGCTAGGGCACTGCTGGGGGAGGGAAGTGGCAGACCCAGGGAAAGCCAAGAGGAGAATCACATCCCTCCTGTGTATCATCATCCAAACCTGTCCCTATACTACAGGCTCAACATGTCTTCTCTTTGTAGCTTCTAGTAACAGGAAAGAGCATCCAGCAGATGGGCCCAGACAAGAGACCAGGGCTGCTTTCAGAAAGGCAGATACTTCACAGGAGGTGGGGGGCGAGGGGAGAGAAGGCACATTGAGAAGGGGGTGGCCAGAGGAAGACAAGTAGTGTCTTTTCTGTCCCAGCAGACCTGCGGGTGCTGGTAGCTTCACACCGTCCTCTGGGAAAATGCAGCTCTTAGAGGCCAAGGGAATGAATCTCTTACCAAGCTATAAAACCTGGAGCAAGTTAACTATTCTCTTCTGGTTTCTGATCTGTAAAACGAGGCCAAAATACTGCCTCGCGGGGCATTGTGAGGATTAATTTTGAAATTCCTCAAATACCCAACACAGAGCTGGCCCTTGTCCCCCAAGTATTAGTGCCGTTCCTCTTTCTTATTTCATGTAAAAAACCTCAGATGCTTAGGCTTGCTGGTTTTATGGTATGAGTGGGGGTGGTTTGTCTCAGAGCAGTCAGAGTCAGTGGCAGGTGTTGGCCTTGACTGTTCTAAAACAAACGATAAAGGAGTGAGTAGTGGCATCATATGGTCTGGGCAGTGTTCTCTGTGCCTCAGACATTATTACGAGTAAATTAAAATGCTGTATGTTCTGTTCGTCCATGCTTTCATCAATATAACCTCTGGACAGTTGGCAATTCCCATCAACATTTACCATGCATGTATTCTTTGACCCAGTAATTACACTTCTGGAAATTTATCCCCCAGATATTTTCACACATAGACACATTTGCAAAATCTTCACAAGGTACTTTCATAATGGAAAAAAATTTCTAAAACTCTCTGGGAGACTAAACTTTATCCATAAAGTGGAACTTCATGCAGAAGTTTAACAAAATAAGGCTGTCTGTGCTTGTTTTGTACTACTTCTATGGAAAAAAATGTGTAATGTATGAGATGCATTTTATATAAAAAAGTTGTGTATATGTGTGTGTGCAAAGATTCGTGCACACACAGAAGAAACTGAGCTGCCTCTGGATGGGCCATCAGAGCAATACAGAACAGGGTGGGATGGGGGTTAGCCTTTCTCTATACGATGCTCTCAACTGCTTTGACTTTATTTTTAAAGAGAGCCTTTTCCAAAATGATCACACCTGTCTTTCTTCCAGATCACAAGATTAGAAAAAACATGGACTGCCCTCCGGCACCAATACACCCAGACCGCCATCCTCTATGAGAAACAGCTGAAGCCTTTCAGCAAAATCCTGCATGAAGGCAGAGGTGAGTGCAGAGTCAGCACAAGCAGGCGTGTGTCTGTGAGACCATTAGGTCACGTCTGCTCTGGTTTGATCAAAACCTTGACCCGGACATATCATGATACCCGAGTTATCTGTAGGATTGTTGATGGATCATCAAGGCTTTTTATCAGATGACAGCATCACTTCTAGAAGAACTGCAGTTGCCAAAACAGGACATGGGCTACCAGTCATCTCATTCTGTGCTTACCTTTCTTAATTGAGGTGTAATGTATGTAGCATTATATTAGTTGTAGGTGTACGATGTAGTGAGTATTTGTGTATATTGCAAAACGATCACAATCCAATCGATACCTACATCATACACAGTTATGAAATTTTTCTTTCCTGTGAGGAGAACTCTCAAGATCCACTCTCTTGGCTCCTTTCAAATGTGCAGTGCAGTGTTAACTATAGTCACTGTGCTGTACGTTACCTCCCTATTACTTTTTTATTCTGCACCTGGGAATTTGTATCTTTTGACCCTCTCCACCCATTTTGCCCACCCATAACCCCCAGGCTCAAGCAACCATCAATCTGTTCTCTATATCCATAAGCTCAGGAACTTTTTGGGGTTTTTGGTTTCATTTTTTTAGATTCCACATATAAGTGAGATCATAGTATTGACACATATATTACATATGTAAGATAAACATATATAGTTACAGTATTGATCTTTTTCTGTGACATATTTCACTTAGCAAAATGCCCTCAAGGTCCATTCATTCATGCTGTCCCAAATGGCAGGATTTCATTTTTTTTTTTTTTTTTTTTTT